TGTAAATCAGCTCCATGTCCTTCATGCCATAGGCTTTAGATCTGCCCCCAAGTGTGTAATAGTAAGTCCAGCAAAATCTGGATATTAAAATATAACCCATTTAACAAAACTCACAGTGTATTAGGCTTCTGTATGGTTTTACAAATATTACTTCATCTTGTTGTCAAAGTAACCACCAAAAATGACCATATAGACCAGGGTCAATGAGGAAACTTACACTGTTGTGTTCCCATTAACTGAACTCCAAACTTTATTCAGAGCTCTTGAGTTTTCCCGCCAATTTCCATTTTGGTTCCACCGATCTAGAATACCAGGTTGCATTTTGTTGTGACTCCTTAGCCTTCTTTGGTCTGGGACAGTTTTTTTTTTTTTTTTGGTTTTTTTTTTAGTCTTTCCTTGTTTTTCATGACCTTGGCATTTTGGAGGAGTGTCGGCCGAGCATTTTGTAGAATGTTCCTCAGTTGGGGTTTGTCTGATGGTTCCCTTGTGATTGGACTAGGCTTATGGATTTGTAGACAGAATCCCACAGAGGCCGTGAGCCTTCTTATCACTTCCTACCAGGACGTGTGTGATGATCAGCATATCGCAAGTGCCGTTACCTGCACCAGCCTCCTCCGCCAGAAGCTGCTGATTGTCTGCCTCCTGCTCTGTTCTATGGATGCTGGTCACTAAATCAGCCGATGCTGGATCAAGTCCACCTCACAGGGGGCCCAATTGTATTGTTGGTTCTTATCCTCTGCTCAAGTGGGAAGCACCAGGGAGTGAGTGCCCTCAAGTGTCACCTCCTCTCTAAGTCCTGTCCTCAGGGAGGGACCCCCTCTCTCCTTGCGTGTCACCACATGCCTGCCTCCTCCTGCCGTAGCCCCAGGTGGGACTGCAGGTTTGCTTCCTCCATGGTGTAGCCACATCCGCCAGGGCTGACTGCACAGTTGTTCAGTCACAGTGGCATTAACTGCAGCAGCAGCACTTGAGAGTTCTGTTGTTTGGCACTGCTAACCGTCCTTTACGTGGGTGATCTCCTGTCACTCCCACCACCCTCTGAGGCGGACACGTTAGTGTTCCCTGTTGTACAGATGAGAAGCCTGAGCCGCAGGCAGCGTTCATTGCTCAAGGGAACTGGGGCAACCTTGCTCCCTCGCGCCCATTTCTCAGCCAGGTGTCTGGTAACCAGCAAGTGTGGAATCAGTATTTCAATGCATACAGTGATGAATTGATTAGCAAGACTAATTTTCCCTCCTTGATTGACCTTCTTTGATTAAGGAACTCCCTTAAAACATAGGGAAAAAAAAGAACTTAAAAAATAATCAGGCTTCATAAAAGGCACTGAAAGCAAAGTTCTCTCACATTCCTTCCCTTTAAATGCTACAGTCCCCCTTGGCGGGCTTGTTAAAGTGGCACGCTGGTTCCCGCCTGCACATGGCATATTTGCAGCTTATTTTACCTTATCACCATTCAGACTAATTTAATGTATTAGTGAGTAGGGACAGGGATATTTAATTTCGAATTTAACATCCTGATTCCTGAGGTGAAGGGAATGAACAAGAGTCAGTAAGAAGTCAGAAGGTAGACTTAAAGCCAAAATAATGCACAGGGAACATGCCATAGTGTCATTAGTGGACAGAACTATACAATTTCTTTAATTCCATCTTCCAATTCATTTATTTGTGCCAAAAAAATCTTGATGCAAGGCCATGTGCTCGACTAGAATAAATAAATGTGAACAAGATGGAGAAGGAACCTGTTCTCATACAGTAACCACCTCGTGGGGAGACAGACACGAAGGAATAGACAGTGAATTGCATAGTAATAAGCTGTCCAAGGAAACCAGGACTCACTGCCAGGATGGTGCAGATCCGCCACGGCTGTGCCTTTCTCCCAGAAGCCTCCCCGGCAGGGGATCAAATCTGGATCCGGACGTTTTAGATGCATTTGTTGAATTCATTAAAAACAAAATATTTCTCAGCATAGTGGAGTGAGAAACTCAACCTAAACTGTTAGACTCTTAGTACTGATATGTTGGCAGTATGTCTCCATCAAGATCTCCTCCCTGCATGAGTCTCAGCATGGGGAAATTGCTCCTGGCAGTCAACTGCCTGTGGTTTCTATCCGGGCCTCACCGCCCCTGCCTTGTAGATTCGGTTGCCACGTCAAGAGTCGGCGAGCTGTTCAAAATGGGTCCAGCTGCCAAAATGTGAATTTCCTGCTCCTTCAAGCAAGTCAGTGAGGAGAAGCTAAAGTGCAAACGCCTTTCCCTTCTCATATTAGAAGGGCAGAGTCATACCTGAGAGAGGAAGGCTTCTTGCTGATTTGTGTCCCCTTTCTCCCCCCCCCCCCAAAGAAAATCTAGGTTTAAGTTAACCACCATCTTTATTTAGTGTCATGTTTTTAACTTAAAAGCATTTATTCAAAGTTTTGAAAAACAAAGCATTCAATACTCTGAGACTTGTGCAAGAGCAAATGATTAATGACATACTCCCCAGTCCTTTGTAAAGTGTCTTAACACTGAAGAGATTTATACAGTGTGGACTGGCCGGGGAGCTCCGATGTGAGAGTAGATAATCAATACCCGCAAGCCTGGGAAAGGTGTTCTATTTCCTCCACTAATGACATTGGGGTTCTGCAAGGCAAGGGTGTCTGGAGCATGAAGCACTGCAAAGAAGAATTAATTTAAAATCTGAAGTGGAAGATCAGTTTCAATTAAAATTGCATTTGAACGTATATTGGGTGGAAGTGTGAAAGCAAGCATGTAGTCGGCTAAATCTCCAGATTGTTACCAGTGAATAAATGAATCCGCTGGTAGGAGCCCCGATTACATTTTTATAGAGAGCTGAGTTGTATTTCACCCACGCTAGAAGGTGAGGAGAAGTAATACAGACAGCAAGTTCTTCTCAGAGGTTGCACGGGATCTTTTGTTTTATTTGTTAATTATCAGATGTCTGTGTTTCTGTAAGTAATGAGTTGCATTCTTACTTCTTGGGGTCAAACATGTTTTCGATTTATTTTACCATGCATTTTTCCCCCCGTTGCTTCTAACCTTATTGTACTAGTGAGTTTCCAAAAGGCATCACTCTCACATACACACACGATATGAAAACATTAGTTTCCATATTTCGAAAAGACAGGCCCAATTGTAGCTAACCACCATTTTGGTTAGCCACCAAATATATAAACTTTACATCGTTTCTCATTGGTTTTCCAATTTATTCCGTTTTTCAGTGTTGTGGGTTTTTTTTGTTGTGGTGTTTTGGGCATCCAGAAGAGAATGTAAAGAGTGGTCAGGATAATTGGAGCCATTCATTAAGGTCCCGTTTTCCCTCAAATATACTGATTCGACATGAAAGTGAAGTTTTCTGGAACACATGCAAATGCACGCTGTTCCTTTAGGCCTCATCACAGTCTTCAGGGAATTGGACCAAGAAGCTAAGTGACATGAGTGAGAAGACCTTGATCATTCCAAATGGAGTGGAGTCCTCCAGTAACTACACGGTGCAGCTAGCTTTTGCTAGAGCGTGTATGGCACTTGTAAATGATTTCGAAAAGTGCCCCAAGGTTGCTCAGGCTTTGCCAATCATTGAACACGTTTTTCTCTGATAGTGTCCTTTACCTTACTGTTTGGATGAGGATTAGAGAAAGGACCCAGGCATAGAATGAGACCAGAGCTAATTGCCAGATAGTAAGACGCTGAATCATTTTTAGGGAGCTACATCAATTGTTCTTGCAGCCATGAAGCTTCCATTAGCATGACCAGAAAGATTTTCTGTGTCTGTCCCTCTTTACATGGATCCGTTATTATTTCAGTTGTGAGCTCAATCAGACTTCAGGGGATGGGGAAACCCATGGGAAATAAGTATGTGGTGGTGGGTTGGGCACAGGTTTGGGCTCTATTTAGTAGTAGAGAGACTTACCAGGAGGTATTTTTGTGGTCCATCATGCAAGGCGAGGTATAGAGCAAGGCTCCAAAATATGGGTTGTTGGGTGGGTTGATCTCATCTCCTAAAATCACTTTGGCCATTACCCTCTTCTGTCTGAGATGTGAAGAAATGTAAGGCTAAAGAACCCAGGAGCACATGTGCATGTACATGTACGTGTATACACACAGTACACTTCATTGAGTGGGCAGCCTAATGCGATCTTCTCAATATTATAAAGTTTAGACTTCACTCTGTATTAAACTCCGAAAAAGAGATTTATTGTGATCTTTCTAGCAAAGGATTTTTTTTTCCAACAAGGTACTTCTGGTTTGTCATGCCAAGAAAGTTAAAGATTGGAGACAGAAAAATCTCAGAGCTGTTAATCAACTTAATAGACATCACCCCCACAATAGTTCACTGGCTCATGGGGCAGAAAAGCACGTGCAGTGTGTTTTCCTGCTCCTCACTGGTACCCATCAGGGCCAGCGTTATAGTTGCATTCTCTTCCTTTATTTCTGAGTCTTTATCTGAGTGCTGAGTCCAACCTGAAGGTGACCTCATAGCCCCATCTCCAGTGATGGAGGGGGATTGAGGAGAGTGCATGCCTTAACCCACCAGTGTACAAACTCGGGCCAAAGTGAGCAATCTTTCAGTTAGCCAAGGAAAACCCTGTCATTGCCTACATTATTCGTGATGCTTCTTGTCCAGTATTGTGTTCCTTTCACTTTTAATGTTTTCCTTTTCCAGTTCAGTCACTCCCAGAAACTGAGAGTTGTGTTTTGTGTTTTCTGGTGAATAACTCCGACAGCCTTTCTGTTCAACTCTTTTAATCTGATGACCAATAAAGTTAGCAAATACTTGATTATAAATCACAAACCCAGCTATCTTAAGTCATTTATCTTTTCTTAATTCTTCTTACCCTATCAAGCAAAGGGCTTGGATCCACAGTTTCCAATGCACTGATGTCTTGGGGGTGGGGACATATAGGAAAATGTACCGTGAGAGATGTAGGACTTGGCTTCCTACTTCTTATTTGTTCCATTGCTGACTATTGAGCCCTGAGGATTGAAGTATTGTTTTCTTTCACAGGTGCCTATGGGCCTGAGCACTGGGTGACGTCTAGTGTCAGCTGCGGGGGCCACCACCAGTCTCCCATAGACATTTTAGACCAGCATGCTCGTGTCGGCGAGGAGTACCAGGAGCTGCAACTTGATGGCTTCGACAACGAGTCTTCTAACAAAACCTGGATGAAGAACACAGGGAAAACAGGTAGAACATGTCTTTATCTGTCCACAAACAACATGAAATATTTCTGGATGTCTGCCTGAAGTGTACTGCACAGAGCTATAGAGAATGTATAGCTTAGCGAGAGCTGTGCAATCAGCCCTTAGTTGGAGAAACAGCCTCTTGCTTTATTAGCTGTGTGATTTGGGCAAATTCATTGACCACTCTGTGCCTCAAATTTTAAAAATATGATACTAGTGGATAATAAAATTGTATCAACCTCATACGGTTGTAAGGATTAAATGAGTCAATATATGTAAAGAATATAGAATGGGCTTTCAAAAATCTGTTCTGTCCAATATGGTGGCCACTGGCCACATGTGAATATTTAAATTTTAATTCATTTAAAATAAGTAAGATTAAAATCCCCTACACCAGTTTTATTAGCCTAATATTGCCCCTCCCAACCAAGTTTTCTTAGGTTGTCTATTTGCAATGTTTTAGAGCAAAGATGATACACATTTAAATCTTTGTGGGGTTTTTTTTTTTTTTTTTTGGTGGATTCACTTCACTTATTTATTTTTTTCTAGGCTTATTGAAATATAACTGACATATAACATTATGCCTATTTATTTACTTGTTTATTTTTTGTTAATCCTCACCTGAGGATATTTTCCATTGATTTTTAGAGAGAGTAGAAGAGAGGGGGAGAGACAAAGAGATAGAAATGTTGATATGAGAGAAACATATCTTTTTTACCCAGCGCCCCAATCCTAAGCCTTTACCCTAAGGCTTTAATCCATTTCAAATTAATTTTTGTGAGTGGTTTAGGTAAGGGTCCGTATTCATTCCTTGCATGTGAGTATCCCATTTTCCCATCATCTTTTATTAAAGAAACTCCCCTTTCCACATTGAATATTCTTGGCTCCTTTGTCAAATATTAGTTGACTAAATATGCGTGGGTTTATTTCTGGCCTCTAGATTCTGTTCTGTTGGTCTGTGTGTCTGTCTCTATGCGAGTACCATGCTATTTGATTACTGTAGCTTTTTAGTATAGTTTGAAATTAGGAAGTATAATACCTCCAGCTCTGTTCTTTTTTGTCAGGATTGTTTTGGCTATTTGGGATCATTTGTCGTTCTATAGGAATTTTAGGATTGTTTTTACTATTTCTGTGAGGAATGCCATTAGGATTTTGATAGTGATTGCATTGAACCTGTATGGCCCTGTGAATAGTATTTCACTAGCCACATGTCAGGTGCTTAGTGGCCATATAGCTACCTTAACCATATCATGCAGCACAGATAGAGAGGTTTCTAACATTGCAGAAACTTCTACTGGACAGTGCTGTGCAAGTGCACAAATTAAAATAAAATTCTTGGCCCGGCCAGTGTGACTTAGTGGTGTAGTGTTGGCCCAGGAACCATGAGGTCACGGCTCAATTCCTAAGTTGTGGGCTCGATCCCCAGTAGAGGGCATGAGGAGGCAGCTAACATATGATGTTTCTCTCTCATCTTTCTATCCCTCTCCCTTCCTCTCTCTTTAAAAATCAATATAAACATATACTTTTTTTAATTCTTATGTTACTTGAGATTTTGCTTTGTTGGTGTTTCTTATTACATTAGAATGCAGATGAGCATTTTGTCATCCCCTTGGTGGTCTCATCCCTCAGACCAACAATTTGACTCTCTTGCTTTCTTTTACCCACCTCTGTGAATTGGGTTTTGGGCTCTGTGAATATGAAATACATATTTTCACCATTGCTAATGCAAAGAGCTGGCTCCCTCTTAGTCACTATTATACAACTACTAGAGACCTGGTGCATAAAAATTCATTCACTGGAGGAGGGGTCCCTCAGCCCATCCTCCCCCCTCTCACAGTCCGGGAACCCTCAGGGGTGGGAGGCGACCCGTCCATCAGGGGAAGGTGATGCCCCATCACACCTCTGCTGCTGCCACTGCCGGCAGCGCAAGCCTCAGTCTTCCCTGGTTACCTGAACCTCAGGCGGCCCAGGGTGGCTGGGAAGCCAACATCTGAGGCTTGCCTGTGTCTCGGGCATTGGCTGGGCAAACGCCATCCGAGGCTTGCCTGTGCCTTGGGCCAGCCCTGGGTGGCTGGGGGGTTGAGGGGACTGGGGGACTCCAGAGGCAGGCGCCCCGGTGGGGCTGAGGGGACTGAGTGCCTCCATCTTTGAGGGTGTGGCAGTCAACTAGCATATTCCTTCCTTGTTGGCTGTGGGTGCCGCCATCTTTGAGGGCGGGGTGGTCAGTGAGCATATTCCCTTCTTATTGGCTGTGGGCGCTGCCATCTTTGCGATGGCGTGAGGGTCAATTAGCATATTCCCTCTTTATTAGATAGGATAGGATTATAGGTTGAAGTAGTAGAGAATACTTTGTTGTGCCCCACCGTCTGGGCTGAAAACAAACATTGGGATCTTATGATACATCTCTGCCTAATGCTACCTAGGTTTTTGTTGGTGCTTAAGATATGCTTCATATCTTAATTCTGAACTCTTATAACCCTGACTCCGTAAAACAAACATGTGTGCTCTCACTCTCCCTCCCTTCTCCTCTCTCTCTCCCCCTCTCTCTCTCTCTCTCTCTCTCTCTCCTAATGATTCCTTTGTTCTTACCCCTTTAGGAGCCCTGGCTGCCAGAAGCCCTTCTGCCTGGCTAAAGTGACTTCACCATCAGGCCTTCGGTCCCATTCATGTATGGGTCACAGCATTACTTTTTCTTTTAACCTAACTGGCTGCACGTGCAACTTTCGGGACTTATTTTCTTTTTCCAAAGCAGCATTTGTCAGAGATTATCCGTGGTTGATTGCTTTGGGTTGGCCTGGTTTGGTCACAGAATTGCTTCCCACTCGCTCAGCACAGTGATTCCTGGCTCTGGGCACTTTTTCATAATGTCCCCATAAACAATTCCCGTTCGTGCTTTTCCAGCAGGCCGCCCTGTCCTGTCCTTGTTTCACCCATTTGAGTAGCTGTTCAGCACAAACATGTGAACTTGTATGTTATTTGTGCACAACTTTTCATGCCACCCCCTCCACGCTCCCAATGGAGATGCGTGCCTATTGTTACAATTTGGAATTTCTCTACCAGTGGTCCCGCTTTGTATTTCACATAGGAGTGACCTTTGGAGAACTGTGATGGGAGAGTGACCCCTCAGACTACCTGCATGCGGTGGGCGGGAGCTTGGTGTAATCAGATCTCGGAGCCGAGTGCCACCTCAGCGCCACATCTTGGAAGCCTGCCAAGGCCAATTCACTGGGCTCTCTGATCTGGTTTTCTACTTGACTTGCAATGCTTGACAGCCTTCTGCAAAGATAACACATTCCTCTTACAGCTTTCAGCTTGGGATCTCCGGTGACAGGTTTTAGACGAGTAGAGGGTTCACTCAATGCAAGCTGATTCATGACCTTGGTCTTCCACGGGCTGATTATCCATCAGTCTGTCACTCTGCTGGCTTCCTGGAGTGAGCCACAACTTGTTGCGTGTCTACGAGTGCCGAGCGCCGGTGCTTGATCTGATTTTAGACTCAGCTGTCCAAAAAGAACAAACAGTCTCAGAAACTTCAGAAGAAGCACAGCGCTGAGAAGTAGAAAGAAATCCTTGTTTCTTCCCAAACAGTACTTATTCCTATGAAATTGATGACATCGAACTAGATGGGCCAATATCGCATAAATAATCTAAGATGATTCTATAGGAGTGGCTTTTTTAAAGTGGCAGCCATTTATAGGCAATTTTGAACAAGGAAATGGAATTGTTTCTCCAGAAAGATTTCAGCATATGGTGGTTTAGAAACTTGGGTGCAGAGATCAACCTGCTTTGTTCTTTGTATTTATTTGATAAGCACAAACCTGAAAACTTTTCTCATTTTGTAAACTTTAAAGTGTCAAGTGAGTTCATAAATTTTCCAATATTTTAGAGAAATGATGATTCAGTTGCTTTGTCTGTTATGCACGGATTGTATAAGTTCAGGTGAATGACCATCCACGTGTGGTTCACGGTGCAGTGTGCCTAATTAAAGGGGGAGGTTGTGCCCTAGCTGGTTTAGCTCAGTGGATAGAGCATCGGCCTATGGACTGAAGGGTCCCGACTTCAATTCCAGTCAAGGGCACATGCCAGGGTTGCATGCTCGATCCCCAGTAGGGGGTATGCAGGAAGCAGCCGATCAATGATTCTCTCTCATCATTGATGTTTCTATCTCTTTCTCCCTCTCCCTTCCTCTCTGAAATCATAAAAATATATTTAAAAAACAAAAAAATAAAAAATAAAGGGGAGATTGCTAATATTAGAGTGGGTAGTATTGATAGGCAACCTGGAGAATATCAGTTTAAAAACACAACTGTTATTGTACTATAGTTTTGTAAAATGTTCCCATTTGTAGAAACTAGATAAGGAGACACAGGTCCTCTGTATTATTTCTTACAACTGCATGTGAATCTATAATTATCAGAAAAATTGAGACTTTAATAAATAAAACCCCATGTCATAAGCCACATGGCCTGTCTTTGTTACAGCCATTTATTTTATATCTAAGTTGCCTGCTTAGATGAAGAAAAAACTTTAATCATTAATTTTTAAGCAACACATTTTTCTTCTCCATATGTCTTTTCTTGAAACTTGTACTTTTAGAAAATAAATTAGGAAGTAGTATTTGTTTTTTTCAGATGGAAATTTACAGGCCACTTATCTGTAAAATAGACTGTCTTTTGGATATTAAAATATGAATTTAGAAAGTTAATATTTAAAGCGGCTTAGTACATACAGACAGTAACTTCCCCATAAAACAGCTTTAGGGCTCCTATCTGTCTTCCCCGGGGCGAGTGCTATATATCCAGTCCAGCATAATCAATGGAGCAAGTTGGTTGCAGGTAGCCCACTTCTCAAAAGTTGTCTAAAATATCTTTACAAGACAGATAGCATCTCTCTATTTCTTCCCGAGGAGCCATAACTGTCTATTGTGCCAGTTCTCATTCGATTTCATCTAAAGTTATTTTCCTTTCATTTTTGTGGAATGAAAAGATAATGCATTCATCAAGA